TGAAGTCCTCAGACATTTTTCTTTCGTTGTTTCTTTCTTTGCACAGGTAAACAGCACATTTCTTCTTCTACGCTTGCATTATCGGCAGAGCAGACGCTGAATGCGCACTTTCATCTGGTTTGGTCTGCCACGGTTTCCGTAGACTCGTGAACGCGCTTTTAGGAAATCCTATACACTACTGTTTATGCTCTAAAAACATTCTAAATGACTTCGTTTCGAGTAAATTCTGGATGCTACCCACTCAGGACACTTGGAATACATTGGACGAGCAGTATGGAGGAATATTGACACGTTTTTTGTGGACTTTTATGGACCTTTCTGCCTCGGGCGCCATAGACCTCCATTATTTGAATGTCAGCAGACAGCAAGAAGCCTCCCAGATCTCCAGATGCATTTGAGATATCAAAAAAGTACTCCAGAGTGTTGTTCAGCATGGGGATGAGTAGAAAATGAAGGCTAATCATGTTTTGGGTGTACTATTCCTTTAAGGCTGATGACCACCATTTCCTACTCATCGAGATCAGTAGGATAGCAACTTGCTTTCTGTTGGTATTGGCTGAGGTAGATCCTAAGGTAAAGCCTGCAATCTTTAGGCTGACTTAAAATTAAAATTTCAGCCTAAATCTATCCATGTATTCTGTTGCCAAAAGCATTAACACAAAGGTATTTATAAGTTTATTTCATTCATTTAAAATAAAACCAGTTTTTATTATTGGCATATTTTAGGATAATGTTTTTCTGTTTTTAAAAAGGTTTCAATTAAAAACAAAAATTTCAACAAAAATAAACAACTTGCCTAATTTACCACAGACTCTGGGGTAGATTTGTGCATGGAATTAACACTGTACACTGCTAAAATCTCTAAAAACTCATCAGATCTTAATTCTAAAAGAAAAAACCAAACAAAAATAAACAATGGTGGTTAATCATACTCCCGTGCAATAGATAATAAGTTAGGGAACAAATTAATTGAAAGAAAATCAATGAATATCAAGTTACTTTTATTTCTTTATTCCTTATGGAATAAAGAAATAAAAGTAAAAATATTTCATTGAAAATGACCTTTAAACAAAAAACCTAAATAAAAGATCTTAAAACTTCAAATAGATCAAATAAAATCCCCTCAAAATGCCACACAGAGCGCAGGCCTGTATTCTTAGAGAAAAGCTATGTGGCTTCATTATACTGTATCTAATTGGTATTTTGGTTAAATTACCAATATAATGATCAAAAACTGATCCAGCCACTGGTTTTGTTTGTATTATTAGTTTTCATTACTATTACATTTTAAGAAAATGTTAGTGGTGACAGTGGCTTCGGTTGTAGGAGTAGTTCTTCAAACAAGAGGTTATTGGTTCTAAACCTGGTCTTAGCCTTTGAAAGTTGTTGTACTACCTGAGCAGTATTTTGGTCCAGCGACCAATTGCTAATGATTGCAATATAGATTGGTTAAATATGTTACCAAATTAGATTGGTTGGTTTAACCAAAAGATTATTGGATACATAACTTCCAACAAGATTAAAACCAAAAACTGTAAAAAATATTTTTTTAAATAAAAATAACTAAAACGTTTCAGTTTGCTCATCATTGCCGAAGTTGCACAAGCTCTTTCAATATTTGCTTTAGCTTGTCACTAAAATTACAAAAAAAACAACACCTTAGAAAATATTTTATTATACATATCAATAATAAACAATTTCAAAGGGACTTAAATAAAAAAAAATTGCAAACATCAGATTATATTGCAAAATATAGTAACAGCAAGGCAGAATTGGTCAGGATCAGGCATTCACAATAACAAACACACTAGAGAACTCTCATCGAAGGCTCAAATAATCTTGCACTGGTGTCTGGGAGCAAGCACATTAAATAAAGGTTGGTGGATAAGATGAACAGTGATTAGAAACTGGAGCTAGAAACCTGAGCTATGCAGGTGATTTGAATGAACCATTAAGCCAGTCATCAGTGCCAAGATCATGACAAATTTTCAACTGAAATATTTTATCTAATCATAAAAAGAAAACACTTTCCACTTTAACAGTTGAAAAAAAAAGAAAAAAGGGTTCTGACTTGGCTAAGCTCCTAATCCAATCTCAACCATCTTAAATTTAATACTAATAAAGGATCTTGCCTAAGGAACCACACTGGCAGCTCGAATCCCCACTGAGGGGCATGAGCTGCCAGTGTGGTTTGGCAATATCATGGGCGTAGGTTTGCATAGGGACCATAGGGACATGTCCCTACCAAAATTTTGAACCGACCTAATTGTCCCGACCAATAATTGGATGTGAGCAACATGTTTATAATTTACAGCAGTAGTTGTTGCAGCAGTGGCTTCTTTTCCTCTCGCAGCTCCTCTGCCTGGTCTCTCCTGTCCCTTTCATGTAGCAGCGCATGGAACTGTGCTGTGCTGTTTAACTCAACTGTCATTGGTTGTTCTGCCTTAAGTTCCGCCTTCTCTCTCTCTGATTGGCTGTTTTCTAGTCCGCGTGTGCTTGGAGCACAACATTGAAAATTTATTCACACTAGAATGCAGCGGTTACTACAATTAATATTAGGCTACAAAACTAGCCCCAATAAAAAAAATGAATATCATGTACACTAAAAAACAAAAACCTTTTTTTTCTTTTATAAAACGAAATATTCTGAGTCAGCCAGGAGTTCTGAAGACACAAAATGGGCAAATAAAGGCTGTAAGCCATCAACATTTCTGATTCTTAGCCACAGCCAACTAAAAAAGAAAATGTGAGGGTTTCCTTTTTACCGATATTAAGTTGATATTACTGTTTTCATTTTTTTGTTTTTATTTTTACAATTTTGATATAATAACTGATCTAAGTGGGTTGCTCTGTGGGGAAAGGCACATTTTACATTTATATTACTGTATGTTTTAAAGTCTCTATACTCCAGTTAATGATGAATCACTCACTAAATTAGTTGACGATTATTGAAATAATCAATTAATATGATTCATTTTTTTTCAGCCCCAGATGAAATGCATAAAATGGGCTACACAGAGTAACTACAGCCCAGATGTTCAACTTTTATAGTGAAGTTAATATTTTAATGAATGTATTATTTTACTTGATACAGAGAGAGCATAGTAGGTAAAATATAAGAGTGGGGTTTAACTCTGCATAATTCTACATCTTCAAAAGAAAATACTGTATTTACCTTCTCTATTAGTCATTCCAATGAAACCATTTACAAAGTGGAAAACAGTCCTAATTCCACATTCATCAGAGCTGGTGACACTTCAAACATTGATAAACAGCATCTAATGAGTGTAGTGCTTAAATTTTTTTTTTATGTAGCAAAATGATGCTTTTCTCTTTTAACAATGAATTCCTCTTATCAGTACGGATGCTCACATCGAGCATAAAAAAGGGCATGCATATTGCATAGCACCAATGACACCAGACCAATAGTGTCCCTACCAAAGTTCAAATCAGACCTACGCCCTTGGGCAATATCCTTCATACAAATGCATACCTCATTGTAATATTGTGTCTAATCTGTAAGATGTTTTGGTTAAAAGTGTCTGCTTAATGGATAAGAATTAAAAATTAATACAAATGAGCAAAAAAGTATCTAGATGTGCAAAGCTGGAGGAGACCTTATTCCGAGGGCTTGCATCTTTAACGGCTGTAAAAGATGGTTGGAACAGCTGCACTTTCATTACTTTTCAGATTTTTATGTGGAAGAACATCATCTTCCTTCCATTTAAAAATAATACACTGCTAAATATTAATCTATTAAAGCAATCCTAAATAAATTTATAAGGGTTTTATAATTTTAATGACAAAACAATCAGCTGGTTAACAATTTCAAAAGATACTGCATGTATATACGTGTAATGTTTATAGGAACGTAAATAGGATTTTACAAAAGTGCACAATAAATGGAATATGACATGTTATATAACTATTTCCCATGTGATAATCTTTGTCCACATTTATCAGCGTATGACTCACTCAAAGAATTTTGTTATCTGTAGGATTTATGTATTTGTAGTCTGTTGTTATCCTGAACACAAATGCTGCTGCCAAAACATAAAGAAAATCAGATCGATAATTTTTTCAATGCTGCTGCTGGAGGTTTGCTCCTGCTAAAAGATAGTTTCCTACTCCATTTTTCTGTGATTATTATGGGATTCCTAAAGGACCTATGACCAGCAAGTTATTGTGGCTAAGAATGAGTTATTTAATGATTAAGCAACAGTAGAACCTACAGGGAGACTTTTTTTCCCTACTGTATCCCATGCATCCAATCATCCATCATGACCTGAAAAGAAAAAAGAAACTGAAAAACTGCACAACAGTTTAATATTAAGAAATCAACTGTTCTCTCGTGATGACGAGATAATTATCTTGTTATCTTGAGAAAACAATTAAACATGTAATAAGGGCTCTTTTACCAGATAAAGAAAAGGCAAATAAGTTCCTCATGTTGTTTTTCTTGTAGCAATTGTGCTTTAACTTAAACTTTTTCGAAGTTAGAGCACAATCAATATTTTTTTACTTACTGTTATTATTAGAAAAGGCTAGTGTCAATCATGGTCATGAAGTTGATGCGGAGGGACGGGATAAAGTTTGGAGGGGTTGGACGAGGAGACAGATGAAAAGAATTGGGATAAAGAGGAGGAGAAGATTATAGAAGATAAGGAGGGAGAAAAGAAGCACTAAAGTGTCACAGAAACCTTACAATAGTACCAGATAGATGTTTGGTGTGCAGAACTAGTTTGGCAGAGTTGTTAGAAAGAATTATTATCTCTTTATATCTGATATCTGAGAACCTTTGGCTTTTTGACATCTAAAAACATCTTTGACATCTTTTTAACATCTAGCTTGTGTTTCAGGATATAGCCTTGTGTTTTGCTTTTATCTTTATGATGAGTTACTGGAAACTTCTAAAGGTCTAATCTTATCATCGGAATTACTGGCAGAAGTGAAAGCTTACTGGGACACACCTATGGTAAACACCAGACAAAAGGAGTGAAAAAAATAGGCCGATATTCACAGTTTATAAGAAGCAGAATATGATTCAGGCTGCATTCTGATGTGGACACAGCCAGAGGTAAGTCAGAAGAACACATACTTGATTATTATTTTTTTAATCTTAAATTTGAACAGGAAATGTGATCAACCTGTTTAAAATAAACAGTGAACCTTTTGGGTGAAAAAAACCCAAAAACAAAACAACAAAAAACAGGTTAATCTTAGTATTTCAAGGATGTAAGGGTTCAACCTCCCAACTTCCTTGAATGAAAATCAGTTAGAATCTGCAGCCAAATTTTGGTAATCAATTAGCTCTGAAACCTAGACCAAATTCATGCTTGATAAAGGTGTATTTAGATTTACTATTTTCTGAAATAAGAAACTAAAGCTATTAAACCCTGTACGAGGCATATGTGACAATATTTTGATTGGGCAGAGTCCAATGGCATTGGGTAACTGGTACTGGGCATCTATTCCCTCCTCTGTTTATCTAGTGGGCCTTGTTGACTAAAGGCATGAGGAACATCAGCCCAGCACAGGGTTAAAAAACCAGGACATCATGACAGGATACCAACTTGGACATTCAATTTTGTGCCTTTAATTAATAGCTAATTTACACTACACCCTAAAATTAACTGCAAGCTAGTGTTTAAGACTGGGGTGATGGAAGAGTATTTGTTTGCTTTAGGAAGAGACCTGGCTGCTCTGAATGGCTTTCAAACATTAACCTGATTATCTGTCCACGGTTATTAAAAAAAAAATCTGAACATGGTGTCAAGTCAATGCACGAAAGTGGTTGCTAGTACTGCTTGGGAGATGATTTTTTTCATATATTAGAAATATTGATTTAATGAAAAAAATGAGAGTTTGATCTGGGTCTATTTTCACAATGATCTTAAAGTCCTCTCAGATTCAGATAGCTCCCATCTTAACTAAAAATGACTTGCTAAGGAGACCTTGATAATGATTGATACAGATAGCTGCTGATAGCAACTCCAAGCAAGGAAGTGACATCCTTTTGTAGCTTACTGAGGAGGTGTGGTTGATTGTGTTGCTAGATGTGACACTGATTTTTTTATAGCAAGAAGACAGATACATGAATACAGCAAATAAATTCCACAATTACGTTCTAAGTAATCCATGAAGAAATATTAAATTATTATGAATTGAGAAAGGGATTAACGAATTGAACGGGGGTGCCTATTTGAGTCAGCGGGGGAGCTGGCTCCCTAGGAGTGCAGTAAGCACCCCAGTAGGGCATTGTCTGGGGGGTGGGGGTCAAGGGCACCGGGGGGGGGTTGGAGGGGAGCTTATTTTTTTTCAGGTTGGGGTCTGAACTGCTCCCTCTCCCAAGCATATCTCAAGTCTTCGCTAAGTGCGGAGCCCATTCCCCCCGTCCTGCTCTCCCCCCGCTGGCTGGCGTGGGGGCTCACCAGTGCACTGGAGGAGCTTGGGGTTTGGGGGTGGATGCCCGGGTGGCTACTGGCTTATTCCTGGCAGCTTCTCCATAGCCCGGCTGGGGCTCCCATTGGGGGGTGGGGCGCCCTTGGAGCCTCGGATCCCTGAGGCCCATGGCCAGATTTACTTCGGGCTGGCTGGCTCTTCACCGCTGCTGCCGGGGTCTCCGGCATTGCGGTGGCTGGGGGACTTCCTTGGGGCTGTCTCTCCTCCTCCCTTGGTGGGGGTCAGATTTCCTGGGTTGGCCCATCCTTGGCGCCTTCGCTCTTGGGGTCCCTTTGGGCATCTGGGGCTTTGGGTCTCCAAGCGCTGGACTTGGTGCTCTGGGGGGGCACCTCTTTGGCTCTTTACAACCAATATTAAGCATTTTTTCTTTGGATAAACTTTACATGCACAAGTGCACTCTCACAAACAACTACATTTGCTTGGTCCCAGGTACTTAGAGATTCACTTCCACACAGAAAGTCCATATTCTTATCTTCAGGTAACACAGAATACATGTCAGATTAAATCATACTACTCATATTTCAGCGATAGTATCTAGATGTTACTTTATTGTATATCTTGTACCATGTCCATTGGTTGTGCTGTTCTTTTTACATCTCTTTGCAGTTGATGAAGCAGACAAATTTTTTTTTTCCGTTATCTCCCTTTTATCTCCTCTTTCTTTCATCTTTTCTCCTTTTTTCTGTTTTTTCTTTCCTGTTCTATTTACATTGCAGTGTCCATTTAAACTGTAAAATTCCCTGTATAATTAAAATAAAGCAATTTATGTGCCTAAATCAAGCGGAACACTATGGCAATAGCCGTATTGCTCCACTTGTGAAAATAAAATCTGTTGGACTCTTTTTGGCATCAAGACAATTATTCATATTACCACATCGCCAGACAGGACACTACTAAATGAAAAAAAAGGGATTAGGAAATTTTTTGCATGATTACATTTTTTAACTGGATTGTCACATAGCATTAAAGACTTTGAATGCGTGTTAGTTCTACACTCTTGTTTGCTACCAAAACTATTGACTTCACTACTTTGTCTGTTCTATATTTATACAGAGTCTTCTGTTAGCCTTTTACTATGATCGCCGAAAGTTCTATTTGGTAACAAGACAAGCATAAAATGAAGAATAAAGGTGGAGAAAACCAGATCTGGATGGAGGAGCAGAGTTTCTGTCCACACAGCTTTGGGAGAAAAATACAGTATTGTCAAAAGGTAAATTGGTGCCATGATCATGGTGCAGAGTTATCTTTTGCCACAATCTGCTTAAAAGGTTAGCCCACTTAAAAGTCCTCATTAGCACTCCTATTATTTTTTCCCTTTAGGAGCTCCCTTAAGGCTTAACGTGCCTTGTGAATAACATATCTCATAGGACATATCTTATCAAGGTAAATTGTAAGAAAGACCTTTTTTTCATAAAATTGTATTTTAGTCCTAGGATTATTTGTGAATACTGGCCCAGATGTCTTAGAAGCCAAATGTAACTCCTGTAGGTGACAAGAAACTATTTTTTATTTTCTTATCTTCTCATACAAATGTTTAAACTCCTCTTTTGCAGGGATTCTGACACAAACATGTCAATACAACAAGTGGTGCAAATAAATAATGTTTCTGTAACATATCAATTCACTACCCCAGGACTTGTAAACCGAACGTACATCATGTATCATGGCACCACCCGGGCAAATGCTCAGAGCATCGCTTCCACAGGTTTCCGTCAATCTGCAGATGGCATGCTTGGTCCTGGGGTCTACCTCACCAGAAGCCTGGAGAAAGCAAGACGCTATCCTATTAATCATCCTGAGTGGGACAAGGTTGTTATCCAGGTCCAGGTCAATGTGGGGAGAGTGAAAGCCATCAGACGCAAAAATCACCCTTTGCAGAAAACCTGGCATCAACATGGATATGACACTGCCTGGGTGCCACCCCGTTGTGGGATGGTGCGAAGTGGTGACGAGGAGGACTGTGTCTGGGATCCTCGTCGAATCCAGATCCTTCAGTACATTTACCCCACTGCTGTTCCCACGCCTACATATGTTCAAATGTAAATACAAGCAGTGATTGGCTCTTTTTTTTAAATCATATGTATTGATATACTCGGATTAAATTTAATTTTGTCATCTTGACCTGACCCTTTAAAGTTCCAACTAATCTTAAATTTAAATTTGTCAGTCTGGGACATCACTAATCATTAAGACCAAAAAGTGTAGTTCAGAGATAATTTAAAGAATGTAAAATACAATATAATAAGAAATATATGAAAACATAGATTTAAAGCTATAAAACTGGAATCTTCTTGATTTGGTTCAGCCTTGGTAATATACATCCTTTAATCCCTAACCCTTTGAATTCTCAGTTTTTTAGTGGGATTAAGTTTGAAACAAAAAAAAGAAAAAAAGAAAAATCAAAATCATATCTGTTGTTGCCAACAGAGAATTACGACAGGGATCATTTACATATGGGCAAATAAGGGTTGTAAATTTGTTTAAAATAGGCCCAGGAAATTATGTTTTATCTACAAGGAGTGTGTTGATTTCCTGTGTTAATTAAAATTGAGCTCCATTACAAGGAGAAAAAAAACAACTAAATTGACTAAACTTAAGTTGAAAAACTCTAATGTTAGGCCATAATCTATGATATTATTTTTGGACATTGAGAACCAATGTCCATGCTGATATTAGCATGATCATTGGGGTAGGAGCATGCATGTTTTCCCTGCTGTTAGACTCTGCTACTTCTACAACCATCACCCAGCACACAAACTTTTTAAGACACGCCCACGGGATATGCAATTCTACCCTCCCACGGTATTTAAGGAGAAAACATCCAACTCATATGAATTCTGTCTTTTTCCATGAGACTCTTGAGAAATATATTGGTAGACTGATCAAAGGGTAATTGGATCTGATGGCTAAGTTCAAAAGCAAATTAATGCAAAATGAATGATTTCTCTCTGAGTTTCAGGAACTTTTAGATGCTTGACGATACTGTAAGTGGGGAGCACAAACAAATTCTACGCTTAACTGTGGATCATTGCTTCCTTTTTTTTTTTATTATGGTTCTCGAATATGTGTTTTTCTTTTCCTTCTTCTGTAAGTACATAGTAGCTGTAGTAGGAAAAGGTATTCAACTTTACAATCCAGTTAAATAAAGGCAATAGATGGCAATTCACTCAGTCGGCACTTTATTTTCTTTGCAAAGAAAATGAGGACAAGATGGCATAAGGTCCAGCCCTGCTCTGGCTAGGCAAAGTGTATTTCATAAATTTTAACCCTGCAGAAAAGCAGTGAAGCAGGGTTGTTTTTGAAAGCCATCTTAGATTTAGTGATAGTTTTCGTCTTCAGGACAAAAACTTTCATTAGTTTTAGTCACATTTTAGTCATTACGATATGTGATATGTGATAGTTTTAGTCCAGTTTTAGTCCAACACCTGGAAACAAATTTCTGGGGTATGTATGCATGGTCATGCTCATGTATAAAGGGTTTACAAAGCTTCTTCGGTAGAAAAATTGATAACAGGTGTGGGTGGCCCTAGACTCCTCCTACAGGCCCTCAGGATCGATAAAGAGTCAACACAAGCCCAAGATCACAAGGATAAGAGAATTAGAATTAGAATCAAACCTTATAGTCTTAAAAGTGTCACAAGTACAAAGCAAAAACAAAGTGCCTAGAGTACCATCAGCATACCAGCAAACAATGGCATCTGTCACTGCGGGAAGCATAAGATGTGGAGGGGGCGGGCCCTGCTCATACTTGGGGCCTAGGATGTTCAGCAGGTTGGGCGTTGCAGGCAAACCTCCTATCTGAAAAGTCGACGAAGGAAACTTCACATTTACACAATCCTACCCTTACAGACAGAGCTGTGAGAACAGCAGAGGATCATTTGGGCTCCTGTTCCATCCATTAAAGAGGAGGGAACGCTGCGTTTCACGGGCTGGTAACATCACCACTGACCTCTAACACTCTCACCATGGATTGTTCTCCCTGCTGCCCTCTGGGAAGAGGCTTCGCAGCATTCAATGCAGGACCAGCGGGTTCTGCAAAAGCTTTTCCCCCGCTGCCATAATACTGTTGAACTCTGGAAATTCTACTGTAATCCAGTCACAAATCAAGACTCTGCATCAAACTTCTTATCATCATATTTGCACTACATGGCAAATTTTCAAATCCTTATAAAAAGAACTGAACTCAGTGTTCTACTGCATTTTGCATCATATTTATTTTGCACTTCACCGAGCCAAGTCAGGAACAGGGCATGCTCAGTGGATTAGAGACAGGACATAATCAGGAACTCTACGAAAGGTGAATAAGATGAGTGGTGATTGGAAACCGGGCAGAGTTAGGCAGGTGAAAGAAATTAGCAATTAGGCCAAGTCTTAGAGCCATGATCATGATATACAGTCACTGTAAGAGACAATAAAACAAAAATATTTTTGTAGCATTTCCCAAATCTAAAATTTTACTTTTACATTTATTAAATCTGACTTTATAAGATATCTTATATTTTTGTTAAACCAACATAATTTTCTGTCTGTGTAGAACTGGAGTGGCTGTAGCAATTAGATGTAATAATGCAAGCTGAAGGATCTGTTTATGGGATTAACAACTTCCGAACTGAATTATTGTCATTTTGACTGAATTATAGAATCAGTTAATTTTGATGTCATGATGCAAATCCAGCTACAAGTTTGCAGAGCAGGTTCTCTGTTGTGAACTCATCCAGTAGCTTACATGAAAGTCCCTCTCTTCTCTGTCCCTTATTGTGGCTCTAAAAATGCAGACATGTTTTAATGTAGATCCATTCATCCATCCATCCATCCATCCATCCATCCATCCATCCGTTCAATAGGGAGGCCCAGAAGTCCCTCTCTTCTCTGTCCCTTATTGTGGCTCTAAAAATGCAGACATGTTTTAATGTAGATCCATCCATCCATCCATCCATCCATCCATCCATCCATCCATCCATCCGTTCAATAGGGAGGCCCAGAAGTCCCTCTCTCCAGCCACTTGGGCCAGCTCCTCCGGGGGAATCCCAAGGCGAGAAACATAGTCCCTCCAGCGTTTCCTGTGTCTCCTCCTGGGCCTAACCCTAACCCCTGGGCCTCCTCTCGGTGGGACGTGCCTGGAACACCTCACCAGGGAGACATCCAGGAGGCATCCTAATAAGATGCCCAAGCCACATCAACTGGCTCCTCTCAATGTGGAGGAGCATTGGCTTTACTCTTATGCTACATTCACACTGCAGCCTGAAGTGACCCAAATCCGGAATTTTTTTGCCCATATATGACCTGGATCTGATCTTTTCATGGCTGTCTGAACAACACAGATCCAATTTTTTCCAATCCGACCCAGGCCACTTGGCTATCTGGTCCTGAATCCGTTACGTATCTGATCTTTTCAAATGCGACCTGTGTGTGAATGGCCAGGTAGGATTCATCCGACCTGAACGTCATTAATACCTGACATAGGTCACTATTCTGCGTTTTGCTACACAGAAGCAGCGAGAACAACAACAACCATGGCAGATGATGATGCGGAGAGCAGTATTTATGTTTAAACATATTGAAAAGATTGAGTTTTTATGGTTGGAAAAGATTGCTAGATGCGCGCCAGCATTATCATCCATATTTACTTCCGGAAAAAAAGAGCACGCTGGCCTTTGATGTAATTGCGTCCTCTACTGCACATGCGAGACACTTGCGTTGTATGACTGCAGTTCACACAGGAGATCCCATACAAGCCGCACATATTTGGAGATATGAATGGCAAAGTGAAAAAAAATCAGATTTCACAAAAAAATCGGAATTGAGTATCAAGGCCTGCAGTGTGAACGTAGCCTTAGTACTCCCCAGATGACTGAGCTCCTCACCCTATATCTAAGGGAGAGCCCAGACGCACTACAGAGAAAACTTGTTTCAATCTTTGTATCCGGGATCTCATTCTTTTGGTCATGACCCAAAGCTCATGACCATAGATGAGGGTAGGAAGGTAGATCGACCGGAAATCGAGAGCTTTGCTTTTTGGCTCAGCTCTCTCTTCACCACAACAGACCGGTACAGCGCACGCTTCACAGCAGATACCGCACCAATCCGGCTGTGGATCTCCCGCTCCATCTTCCCCTCATTCGTGAATAAGATCCCAAGATACTTAAACTCCTCCACTAGGGGCAGTACATCCTCCCCAGCCCGGAGAAGGCACTCTGCCCTTTTCCGGCTCAAGACCATGGGTCGGATTTGGAGTATTGTTGTTTTAATGTGTGAACATTAAAGATAAGCTTTATCTTACAATTAGACCTCACAGAGTCAGCATTTAGTGTTTAACAACTAACTAACTATAAGTCCAGCTCTCTCTTATATGTTGGGCTGTTGGAAGTTTTCACTGTAATCTTTTGGTGTATAAAGACATTAGACGGACATCCTAGGACTAAATTGGTTTTAAGGAATTCTCAAGCATGTGCTCTGCTGCACATTCATGTTTTCAGCTATGTATAGATAACCATTTCTTATCTTTATCTTTTCACTCATCGGGTTAGGGTGGTGCAGCACTAAACGGTGATTATAGAGAACACAGCAGAAATACAGTATATCTGACAGTTTTATCATACATGTTTATAACAGACATGTACTTTCTAATATCTTCATTGTGAGATCAGTGGCCTGTGGAAACATCCAAGGCTTCTACTTAGAAGCATGCTGAATTTTTTTTCTTCTGATGTCTGATCGCATGGGTTGACCTTATGAAAGTTGGACAGCAGATGGGCTCATTATATAGTCATCAATGATTTCATGTGTGTTATGTGTTAGGTGATAAATTTGGTAATTTAGTAATGTTTAAGTCAACATAAGTAAAGCAGACAGGTCACAAGCATTAATTACATTATTTTAGGTTTTCTATCGATTATTTTTATTGGAAATATTTAAGAGAGAAAAAAGTGAGAAGAAAAGTGAATGTAAATATAGTAACAGGGATTATGACTTTTTTCCTTTTACTATTTTACAGTGCTTATTTATTCCTTAATGCCAAATGATAGATTAAAAGTCCTTTTAGTAACATGCATGAAAAAAAAACCTTAAGAAGTGAGTGTGGCAGGGAAAATTATTATAGATACAATTAGGATTTCAAAATTGCATATCGTATTCACCTTTTTTACAGAGTTTTTCTGTATTTTTTTTCTCTCCTTTTGACTTTAAAGCCACTAAGTTAATATTAAGATGATTACAGAAACGTTAGCACTGAGTACTTCAGAAGATTTAAAATCCACCAGAAAGAAAACAAATACATAATCAGCAGATTTGATCTGTTATGAATTAGAGGGGTCTGCAGTTTTACCCCTTGAGAGGAGTTCTTTTATTACTATCATAGACATAGATAGACCTTGCACCATCAGTTGAGAGGTCTGCCGACAGAGCGGCCATCTTAGGTCAGACCAGGCTGCTGTTGGGAAGACAATACCCATCAATTCAGGCATATCTTACTTTATGACTTTAGATGCTCTTAACCCGGTGATCTCTTAACCAGTTTCCAGATAAATTGTCTGACCGAAAAAAAGAGAATGTTTCCCTTGTTATATGG